GGCAACAGTGCACAGGAGACAAGTAAAGCAGTACTAACTCTTGAATTTCTAATTGTGAAAAAAGAGTGATGCAACCATAGATGTATTTTGTATGAGGGCTCTGCCATTGCTTGTTTCTTCACACCAGAAGAATATATGTCAGGAGTGTGTCATGGTGAATATTTTCAGTTTTCTATTACAGAGATTTTACAGTTTCATTTCTATGCTCCCCTTCAGTTCCACAAATAAAATTACTAGGATGTTTGAATTATTCTTACAGATAAAAAAAAAAATTGAAATTGCATTGGAAGCATGGGAAACATGCAATTGGCCAAAACGTCATGTTACTTCACAGTGAGAGATCATCAAAATTATTTTGAGACAGGTAGCAAAATCAGCATTATCCACACATACATCCACAGCATCTGATTTCATCTACCTACAGATATGTTTCAGTCTATCTGGAGGCCGACTCTGCCAAACCTCCAAGGATTTAGTTTCCTTGTACTGTGAATTTCTAATAAAAATTATTTAATTTTAGCAATAATCTATTGCAGTAAAATGAGAATCATTTATTACCCTGTATTGTCTGTTATGTGTGAAGATGTCCAGCTTGCCAGAATTTACAGCTCTGCAGCTGTATAATTAATCTCTTGCAAACTCACAAAGCAAGTTTCTCAAATAGACATATATCTCAAATAGAAACATCAAGTACATTATGCATCACTACATAAAAATTTAATGTGGCAGCAGATCAGAAAATAATATGCAAAAAAATGTTTGCTACATGAAATAGAGATTTAATTCTTATTTTTCATCTTCACTAAGTCAACATATTATCCACCTGGCACATGCATCCTAGTCCTGTTAGAACTACATCCACTGAAATAAGAATGTGTTTATACTGTTAGCTTCAAAGGAAGAATTTTCTGATTACACACTGAGATTCTCAAATGCTCATCAAGTAAGGAATGTGACCATTTTCCTTTGCTGTTGGGATGCACCTTATGCAGGGTGGACTTTGGACCTTAAGCAAGGCTTTGTTCGGCTTTTTTCCCCTCTCAGGAGTAAAGTTGCTTAACAAAAATAATCCAAATTTCACACCTATGGAAGTGTGTTTGCACTTTCACTGATCTCTTTAATTCCACAAATACACAGCTGTTGCTCCTGCCTTGAGGATAAGTGAATGTGGCATGTTTCACCCAAAGAACCTGAGTGAAATTGCATAACAATATACAAGCACATTTTCAGATAGTATTTACAATTCTTGAAACTCTGTGAGAGTGGATAAAGTAACTAGGAACTATTCCCATTGTCTTGCATCCAAACAACTCATTCCATGTGACAGCCAGCTAAAAACTGGGAGTTGCTGATCCTTCCATTACAACAGACAGTGACTTACCTCCTCAGAAAGTAGTGGAAATGCCAAATGAATTCTAAGTGAATTCAGGAAGAGGACTCACACTGATTCAAGTTCACAGCTGAAAAAAAAAAGATAAGAGGTTTCAAGATTGCATACCACCATGTTTGTCTTGTTAGCAGATAATTTTGAATGCCCTGGTCTAGTTTTATGTAATCTAGTGTAGCAGCATTGCAGAAAAACCTTTGCTACATATTTGTCAAAATTATCTGCAACATGGAGGTGTTCATCATACACTGTGAAGAATGCAAGTGAGAACATCACTGATATATTTGGCAGTAGAGCAAACCAGACAAATGCACTCTGTTAACAAGGAGCTGTTCATATTTTTCTATTAATATATTTGTTTAAAATATTTAACGACACACCTCCTAATGGGAATGATGTGTCTCCAGCTCTAAATACAGATATACATGGATTTGGACTCAATGATCCTTATGGGTCCCTTCCAACTCTAGATATTCTATGATACAAGGTATAAATGTGAAAATCAGATAAGCTTCACCTTGGAGCAATAAGTATTTAACTTTACATGTTACTTGCAGCTGGAATGTTCCAGAAGAAACAAGGGAACTCGTGGCACACACTGGCACCAGCCACTGTGGCATGGGCCTCTGTGTCACAGGTAAAGGCACACTTGCACAATCTTCCCTGTCCAGACATGGACTATGAACATCCATAACTAGCAAGGCATTTTATAACATTTTGTGAAACAAGCCAAATGCACTATTCTGAAAGAAATAACTAGCAGGAGTCAAAGTTAAACTTCTTGGGAGTAGTGTTGCTGAAAAGAAAAACCATAACTACATGAGTAAGCCTCATTTCCGCTTTCACAGGCTAAGCAAATGATAACCTGATTACTTTTCAGTCTCAGGAGGCTGCTCAGCTCTCTATGCCTTCAGCTTCTATTGTCAGCATCTTATTCTCCATGATTTTAGCTGACACACTTTTCAGTCTTCTCTTTTGAAACATTACTTAAGGATTAAAAACTGTTTATCTAATAAAAATGTCACTTTCACACTTAAACCCACTGATTTTAAATGGAAATGAAGATGTTCTAATTTATTCTTTCACATTAATAATCAGTACATCTAGAGTAAGGTTAACAAATAGAAGCAAATATTAATCCTATTTCTAACACTAGTATTGTAGAAATATCTTTAATTTACTGTGGCAACATATAGCTGTTAGTGCAACCAAGAACATTTCTAGAAATGTTGTATAGCACTACACACCTTAGGAAAAATGCGTACCATTTCTTTTTTCTACAAGTCTGATGAGATGCTGCATAATATTAAAAAACAAAAGGAAATAGAGGGTGGATACTCATTCTTGATCTAAGAAGGAAAGAGTAGCTCTCAATACCCCTGTGGGCAGGAGCTGCTTTCCCAATGCTTTCTTTCTTTCATGGACAGAAGAATCTGAAGCTTTATGCTCTTTCTCTCCTCTGGGACTGAAGGAGGCATGGAGATGGTCTGCATCTTTCAGTGGCCCCACTGCTTCACTCTCATCACTTTAACTTGACAGTAAGTGGCTACTTCAGAGCAGAACCTTATTTCAGTGAACTGCTCTGAGAGTATCTGCACTTCTAAAATTATGCTCTTTTTTGGCTCTATTTTATTTGGCATTCCAAAGAGCAACAGTGAAAAACAAATAAACCCATCTTCCATTCCAATTTAATAATGTTGTAGAACGCATAGACAGCATATATTATAGTGGCCTTTCATAGCAGTCATGTTCCTAAAACACAGTCTCCCTCCCTCTTTCATGAAGAAATCTGCCACCTCCATCTCACCAACTTTTCAACTCTTCTGCCAAAAGGGTAATATTTATGCACAGAGATTTCTTTCCATTATGTTTTAAGTTAATCTGGGGTTGGTTCTTTACAGGACTAACACTTTGTCTTAATGATCCTTGTGGGTCTCTTCTAACTTGGCATATTCCATAACTTGGAAAACCACTACAAACTCAGAGATTGCAGTATTTTATGTCAGGCATATGTCTTAAAATATTTCAGCAAAATTCCCTCGTGTACCTCTATGGTGTGATAGCTTTTAAGCATGGACCAATCTGCCCTGAGTCCTGTGCAGTCACTGGAGTACTCACCCCTGCAACATTCATTAATTACTGTGCTGGTTCCTAAATGCTTTCAACAGGTGAAGGAACCCAAGTGTCATAGAGAATTATTTGCAAGTTGATGATATGCAAACCAGTGTCTTCTGGTCTTTGATGCTTTTGGTCCTTGTCCTCGAGTACACTGCAGTTCTGCAGTCAGCAGTGCCAAGTCAGACTGAGCTGGGTCCTCCTTTTCCCCTTGAACACCATCAGCAGCCAGAGCCAGAATCCTTACTCAGCTCTTGCAGCTGAACTGGGGGCCTCATGGTCTCAGGTAGGGCTGAAGATGGGTGTTTATTGAGAATGTATGAGTATTCCCTTCTATTGACTCTGCATCCACATCTTTGTTCTTGCAGATTTTTGCAGGGAGGTAAGGAGGATCCAAAGTACTCTATGTAATTTACTTAATGTAATATTTTAAACAGTAGGGATAACACTACTGGTTCCATTGGTTTGGGTGTGTGTGAGTTAATTGTGTTAGAGTAAAAATCACATTTTAAAGTTTAAAAAAATCTAGATTTGAATGACAAGCTTTGTGCTGGATGTTTTGCCTAAATAACAAACAGAACTCTCAACTAATTGGTTTTTATTTCAAAATATATAATTTGCCTTTAACTTAATTATTAATGTAAACTGATGCTTTAAAAGCAATTAAGAACCGGTTGCTAATTGGGTGGAAAAAACCCTTCTGATGACAGGCTTTGGCCAAAAGAGATGTTTACAAAAATTTCTTTCTAGTGTATGGAAAGAAAGTCACATGAAGAAAATTATTAAGTGATTCTTAAAACTGCTCACAGCATAGTAAGAGGTGATTTGGATGAGAGGGAAGGCAGAATCCAGACCTGGAAATGTTTATTTATTGTTGTAGTTCTGCTTACCTCAGTGATTATACCCATAAATAGATAATAAGAGGCAAATCTTCACATCAAACTCAGCAAGAACATTTCACTGCACTTCCTATTTAAAACCTTCAGTTAAGGACAAGGAAAGAGATTAATTTGATAGTAGATCTTTATTCAAAGAATTACATAAGTATAATTCTGTATATAGTTAGGAGGAAACTACAGTGTGTATTGCTTATATTCAGAAACTGGAATGTGAGCTGGGCAGCATGAAGAGTGATACTATAAAACAGAAATAAAGTCATTTTGATAAAATGGATGAATAAATTCCCTTTGCCTTGAAGTTTAAAACTAAAATGCAACATGTTCCATGCAGCAAGAATGAATTATCCCTTATCTTATTTTACACCACTAGGGATAAGATCACTTGATGGACCAAATAACAAATGCATGCCATTTAGTAGTATGCCAGGAAATAGCACAGCATTTATTTTTTTTCCCCACCAATTCACAGCCACTGAATATGTGATTTATATGTTTGATATAAGTTTGATATAAATATATGTTTGATATAAGTGTTTATATGTTTGATATAAGTTCAAAAATTTAAGAAAGTGCTTTGCTGATTTTCTTGATATGATCTGTCAGTTGATAGTCTCTGTGTGGGAAGTTTCATGTAAGTTCCAATGTAGCTTTGATATCTCCAGGAAAAAAGCTGCAAACAATTTGTTTCTGTCAATATAGTTGTGTCTGTGAAGAAGGAAAGAAACACAATGAAGTCTTGTCAGGCTGTCCTGCTCTTAAAATTAGGAGTGTAGTCCAGTGAAGTTCCATGAGTCTTCAGAGGAATTTGCAATATTGGTAAGCCCTGAAAATTACCCAGTGCACAGAAGTGCTGGACATCTTTTAATTTGATATTCCTCTGGATTTACTTCAGAAAACTTTTTCCAGGTTTACATACCCAAATTGGTATTACCTGTAGCCAGGAGCACTGAGGCTTTAATGAGGGGAGACAAAAAGTAATTTGAGAATTATTGTAAGATTCTCCTCTTTCCCGAGTTCAACATGAGTTGACTCAGAGCCTGCACAAATGTTCAGGCAACACACTAAATAGTGGTTTACCATGGTGCCTCCAACAATAAACAACAGTGAGGAATTTAAGCTATATTTTATATAATTATGCTAGTTTATGTCCCTGGATGATAAATGAATCTTTATAGCCATTTATACTGAAAACCACCAAAATCCTCACATAACCGTATCTGTGACTGGCACACTTCAAAACAGATGCTGTGATAGAAGAGTGCCCATCCACACCATCATCTTTCACACCAGAGGCAAATTTCATTGCTATAGAAATGAAAATTGCCAGTGCAATGAATTTAAAGACTGAGTAGACACCCAGTGAAAAGTGTATAATGGTATGGATTAGTCTGGGAATTTTGCTTGCTTGCTTAGCACAGGAACGAGTGAGCTGGAGATAGTAGCTTTGAGCTGCCCAATGCACAGCAAAGCTTCCCATCTGGGCATGCTCATTCATGGGCACCAAGGGACTTCAATTCTCCCCCTTCTCTAATAGCAGCAAAAGAAAATGAAAGAAACCTGCTTATTTTCTCGTTCTGGGAATGCTCCCCGTCATCAGCCGCTCCAATTGGAAGCATCGTCACAATTTTCTGCGCCACAGTCTGAAACATTCTGGCAACAGGAATTGTTGAACCATCACAGATGAAATCTGGATCTTCTCCAAAAACTGAAATACATGGGGAAAATTAATTAATAAATAGGTGTAATCCAGGTGCTTATTTCTGCTATCACAGATCTAAGCAAAGAGCTGATACTAAGAGCTTCTGAGTAGAAATGGGTTTGAGTGTGTAGCCAATTGATGTCACAAATCAGCTCTACTCTATAAACCTCTGATTTCTTATCAATACAAAAATAAATAAATGAGATCTTTTGGCTACTTCTGTAAAGCATATCAAAATTTAACTAGGTATAGAAGATGTTGATGAGTTATTCTGTCAGAATCAATGAGATTTATAAGAGTAAGAGGCTGCAGCACTAAATTGGGAAATCTGTTTTGCCCTATTGTTGAGCACGATGCCCCTGAACACTTACAGACACACTAAGAATTGGGGGGGAAAAAAAGGATCACACCTGTTTTTATTGCCCTTCTTGCTGCTTTATGTAGTAGATCATTACTTTCAGTTTGTTTGGATTGTTCCTCTTGGAAAAGACACCCTCCAAGTGTTCCACCACCTGTAGGGAAAATATTTCTAAAAAGCTTTCATCTTGCAACTTCAAGCTTATACCCACATTCCTCCTTCTCTTGGAAAGAAATAAGTGCTAAAAAATTCCATTTACTACAAGTCTAGGTTTGTAAGGTAATAAGAGAGACTTAGTTTACACAGTAGTGGCCAAAGAAAAGATTTGTGTCTTACCTGTTCTTTCACAACCAAAAGGTCCATGTGGGGAACCTGATGGATTGAGAATTTGCTAATTACTTTTGCTGGAATGATTGTGTTAATGCCTGGTTCATGGAAAGCTCCTTCAATCCCATGAATAGAGAGAGAGGGGTAACACCACAGGTGTAGGAGTATTTCTTCCTTTAAAAAAAAAAATTCAAAATATAAGAGATTGATATAAACAAGCCACAATTTATATAAACAAGTTTTTGATCAGATAGTATAGTTACATTATACTTTTGTATTACTGATTCTAACAATCTAGCTTTAGGTAATCTGAAAGCTTTTTCACAGAAATAAAAGCATCCATGTTAGCAGAACCTACACCACAATAATTATGTTTGTGATAAAAAAATAATCAACTCCTTTCTCCTAGCTGCCATTCTTGTGCAGAGAAATATTTCCAAGCCAGACCTTACCTGCTGGTTTTTTATTTAGGATATAATTTTTAATTGCTGGTAAGGAGAGGCTTGTAGCTTTGGATGCTTTTTATGGCACGCTTGGCAGACATCAAAATCTATTAAATAAAAAAAAACCCAAAACATATCTGCCTAAGACTGCCTCCCATTTTTTCAGAGCTGAATACAACTTTTTTCCTACTATGTAACCTAAATGTAGGCATTTTAATGCATGTTTTATTTGGCTGATTATGCTTGGGGAGGGGGGGGGGGAGGAGTAGGCAAGGAAGAGAGACTTACACTGTTAGTTTTGCATCATTGTTTTTAATTGATTGTTCATATTTCTGATCACTTTCCCCGGATGCAATGCCTTACATTTTCAGCAGACTAGTTTTATTTACCTCTTATTTCTCAGTGCTCCTTTATTTTATTTTGAGCTTTCCATTGACTGAAAATTCCTTTCAGTTTGGCTTTATATATAAATGCTACAAATAGATGATTTAAATTCCTTCTGCTGAGTATTCATGCAGATTTTACATTACCTTGGTGCCATAGAGGAATTTTTTCACAGCACAGTTATTTCTGTGTTCCTCTAGATCAAATTCAATCAATTCATATAACTTCCTTTCCTCCTCTGTCAGGGCAGCAACACTGTCGTAGATTCCAGGGATCTGAATACGACCTGTGGAATCCACAAGGCTGTCTGCAAAATAGGATTCAGAAATAGGGAACCTATTTCTTCCCCTTGGCAATCATAATACCTTCTCCCTTCTATCTAGCTCTTGACCAAATTAGGAACAACTCTTTGCATATGTCAAGTTGCTTCCCCTAACTTGATATGTTTGCATATTTATTAAGAAAATCATTGAGCTGCTGTTTGTATGTAGTGTGTGATGTGTCAACCCAGCTTCTGACATGAAAACATCATCCTACTGGGATACAAAGCAGCATTAGAAAGTCAGGTTTTGCTATGTGTGCATGCATTAAAGTTGCCTGTAATCCTTAAATGTTCTTAACTGATGTGTGACTGACATCATGTCTAAAGTCCTGGCCTTACTGGGACATTCCCTTCCTCAGCTGCCGCCACCATAGCTGTGTTGAGGTTTGGAAATCTGGGGATGTTGCTTCAATGAGACTTACCTTACAAGAGTTAAACGTGGCCCTGCCCTTCATTAGGCCGATATGGGCAGCTCCCCCCAGCTGCTCCTGGGCAGTGATTGTGCAGCACTATCAGCTCCAGCAGCGGCTCATGAATGATGCCTCCAAAAGTTCCAGGGTGAAGGTCCTTGCTGCCACACCCAACCTGTACCAAAACCACTGGTTACTTGTAAACACTCACTACCTTACTCTTCTGTGAATTTTTGTTTTCCACAGTGACTAGTGGTACCATTTTTTAAAAATAAGATTACAAATAAACAGTATTTTTTTTTCTGACCCTTAAATGGAAAACATAATGTCAGGAGCAATCTGCTTTGGCAGAGAAGATGGAGCTCTGTTGTCAGCCACCAAGAGAGAGAAATTCAGCTGTCTGTAGTGCTCACAGATTTGAGAGCAAGGGTCCTCCTCCACTCCATCTTTTGCTTCAGTAAGATTAAAGACATCATACATTAAACGTTTGCATATTATTACTGTTTCTAACACTGGAGAATAAATTCTTCAAGTTGTCTACCCTTTTTATTTAATGCAAAATCTTCTTTTAAAAAGGCAAAAAATAATCTTGTTTGATATTAAGAATATATGTCCAATCTTAATTCAAGATTGCAACAAATAAAAATTTATAGCTCTCTTGAATAACAAGTCGTTAGAATAGAGGCATTTGAGTTATTAAATGGGCTATTTTTCCAGACACATTTTCATACTTGAGTTTATCATAAAATATTTTCCTGCAAAGAACTTGTTTATTCTTCTCAAAACCTCATTACAGCTAACTGTCTACTAGCAGGGAGAGATCATTTTTGATGTTTTAATAGCATCATTTTTCTTAGCCAAGACTTAGAAGAATTGAATCAAGACTGCCAAGGCTCTTTCAGTTTAAAAAAAATTCATTCTTTTTCAGACATAAAGGTTAATGCAGATTTTTCTTTAGTTCTCAAGTTCTTTAATCTTCTCTCTGAATTCCTTTTATGCTTGCTTCATCAGGAAGCATTTCAGATGAGAAATTTCTGCTCTTTATTTCACAGTAGCTCACATTACCAGCTAAATTTAGCATGTTGGCTACAGTGGACTTTTATTTACACCTGCCAGTGTTTACAAAAATTGTGTGTGGCTTTTAAACATAGAGATCCAACCAAACTGAGTCCCTTTAGGCTGATTTATTGTACTAAGCAGTATCTTCTGCAGCAGAATTATGGTTTTAGATAGAATTGGAGAGGCAGGTGTAGGGATTGGTGTCCACAAGAACAGAGTTGATGTGCAGAGGGGAGGATGAGAAGAGACTGGCAGAGTGGCAGGAGAGTAATGAGATAGGAAAGGGATCAAGGGAAGAAATGATTGAAGAGAAGTTAATGGAAGTAAATAAGGCTAATGGAACTGAAATGAGGAGGTAAATCTGCAGAAGCCAAAATAGATGCAGAAGAAAGCTCTGTACTTGTAAATATTAAGCTTTCCTTCAGTCTTTCTCTGCATGCATATGTGAGTATACCTACATCATTGCTGTCTGTCAGAGAATCTGTTGGAGTGTCCTTTACCTCCACAAGGAAGCAGGCGTTTCACCCACTCCCATAGGTAAGGGCAGGCTGAGCCACAGGTTGTCTGAAATTACAATATAATCAAAATCAGAGAAAAAACCCTGTTTTTCTTCATCAAGTAGCTTCTCTAACTCCAAGGATCCTGCTTCTTCCATGCCTTCAATTACAAACTTAAATTCACTGGCATATCCTACATAAAAGTTAGAAAAGTTTGAGTAAGAAACAAGCATTTAATTTTTTTTTCCAAAAAGCTTTAAAATTAAGAGCAGACTGGCTTGCTGTACAAATTGTGTTAGGATAAGAAAGATGATGGATGAGTGCATAGGATATTTAACTTGCTACATTAGAGAAGCCAGTGACAGACACATATAGGTTCCCAGAAAAACTTGTTCTTTTCCTCATGTTTTTATCTACTTTTCATTACTAAAGGGCAATATGATGTCTTTTTTTCTTCTTTGTGCTTTCAGAAAACTTGCTGAAATATCTCATTAAACGGGCGTTCTGTCAGTGCTATTCAATAATCTAATTGCTTTGGAAATTCTAACTGTCTAATAGCAATTGCATTTCCACAGAAAATTTCCTGCCTCATACATTCCACTGTTACTGCCCATGTGGGAGCCACTGGCTGTGGTTTTCCCAATGTTGTCTATCAACAGACTTACATGGTGATAAAGAATGTTGCCAGTGACTCTACTCTTATTTATCTTTTTAACACTCCTATTTATCTTTTTAACACTCATAAATTTGCAAGCCTGCTGGTTGATAATGATGCATTTCCAAGAGTAATTAGGAGATCTTCTATTATGGAATAGTGGGAGTTAAAAATGCTGACACATCCCATAGAGGACATAAATTTCAACTTAGTTTCCTGTTGCAATTCATTTTCTCATTAGAGGTTTTAAGATCTTTTCTCTTTTGATTTGATGCTCAGATTAAAGAAAAGAATGAATATGTAAAATAAAATGAACTTGCGTCATGGATGGGTTCACTGATGGATAATCAGCTGGCCACAGAAATTTTAGAAACAAACTGTTAATGAATATTGTTTGATGGTCTGTGCTGTTTTCTAGAAAAAGGCTTCAAATGACAAAAATTCCTTTCTGCTTGTTTGTTAAAATGTCAAGATAGCTATTAATGATTTGAAAAAACTAGAAAGATGTCAAACCCATAACCATGTCCACTTACAACAACTACTCTTTAGGCAAATAATGTGAGTTTTCTAGGGTTTAAGAGAGACCAAGGTCAATTCAGTACTATGGATGCAAGAAAAACATGTTTTCCAAAAGGCTGTAAGGGGACTTTAAAAAAATCAAGACTTAATGCTCAGTTTGTGCCATAATGTCATACAAGAGACAGAAAACTGTTTTTCATCACACTAACAGGATATGTAATGCAAATTCAGCTTAAAGGATGATAGTTAACCCAGTTACAAGCCTAAAATATATTTTTGGTTTACCTTTACTTTGGGGGTAAGACTACTCCAAAATTCTTAAATTATTTGGAGATGGCTATGTTGGTCATTGTAGTAATTTAGGGGCAAATGTCTGACCTCAGAAATCTGTCAGATTCTGAGTGATTGGTTGCATTCACAAAATTTGAATTTGGTGAATGCACCCATTCAAAGTATTTACTTTGATAAATCTGATCTGTTGGTGACATAACAGCCCATTCTGGATGAACATTTTAAGATGCTTATTCTCTTCACACAGATACATAAATTGCAGGTATCTTGTAGGCAGAGAAAACCAAAGATCAGCAGAATGTATCAGCAAATATGAGTCTTCATCAGCATTCTGTAATGTCTATTATTTTATCATTTTAAAAGTTCTCAAGAGAGCAGAACAATTATCAGAGCTGTGTAATGTATGTAATACATATTGAATGCTTCCTGTGGGTTTTTCTCTGCAGGGCAATGGTAGCAAGACTGTATTTACATTGCAGACAGACTGTTCGAAACAGAAATGCTCAAAGACAAACTCTTACTCAAGTGGGACTAGTGCCCTAAGTGCTGCATCAGAAATAGTTAATATTTCAAATTGTATATAGTCTGTCTGTTGGGACAGAGAGGTATGATCTTACTCAGGAATGTAAATACATCTCTCCAGAGATGTAATAAAAAATAACAACAAATAATACTAAATAGCAAAAATTAGCAATAATAATAAAGAAGTCATCATTGATACCTACTAATTTCACAGCTCTAAATGTTTCCACTGTATTTATCCAGGCTAGGACTGGTCCCTTATTGTCTGTTACTCCACACCCATAGAGGTTTCCTTAAAACGAAAAGAGGAAAGTTTTTAAGAAACCTTTGAATTTTCCCTCATCACTTCAATATAACTGGCAAATTTGAGTTGCACAGAAGCTTTAGTGATGGAGCAAGAAAGCATCAAAAGTGTCAGGATTTCACTGGCTCATTTTAAATAAGGTGATGAGTATTCAGGTGCTTCCCAATGGACTGGTACACTTTTTCCCCCCCTTTCCTTCCTTTTATATACATAATTTTGGGGTTTCTGCTACATGACAATTTTTAAGCTTCACTTTTCTTCTCAGGAACTGTTTGTTCATACCAGATATGCCTGAAGGGTTTGTACAATATGCAGCTTCTGGACATATCATTCAGACCAGGTAACAAGCGGCAAAAACCCTACAGATAAATGCCATGGCAGAAATATGAAGGTACAAGTCTAAGCATTTAATTTCTTTTTCAAGTGCACATCATGTACAGTTATCACTGTACATGAACTGAACTCTGTGCCTGTGTATAAACATGTGTAGCAATCCCCACTGGGTATACACTGGAATAAGGTAGAAGAATTATGCCAGTAAAGATGCTGGGAATTGATCCCAGATAATGAGAAAGGGCAACTAAGTGGTTATAACCTGAGAATCAGGATTTCTGAGGTCCTTCTTACCTGCTGGCCCTCTATCCATTGTTTTTGTTCCTTCAGTCAGCTAGCTGTGCTGGAAGGATAATTACATTAAGACGTCCTCACATTCTTCCACCACAAATGCTAATATTTACACACCAAATATTAGGCAGTCACTGATGGATCTCACTAGTCACAGAACAGTCATCAAAGCTGAAAGCTGCTGGACGTGTCCCAAAGATTTCCACAGAAATCCTCATGCTTTGGTTAAGTAGACAGGAACCCTTCTCCCACTCAGAACCTCAGTCATGTATTCAAATAATGGTACAAAACTTATGAGAAGATCGATTTCAGTCAGTGTGTAGGGGTCAGTGTTCCAGCCAACTTCCTTGGCAGGCTGCGCATCCACATGACTGTAGAAACATACAGTGGGGTTTTGTGGATCCTTCCCCAGTTCTCCAAGAATCACAGAAGGCAGTGGGAGGACTTAGCCATCAGGCAGCTGTGGAGAAAGGGTAGAAAAAGGCAACTAAGGAAAACCAAACCTTCTGAAACTTACAAATGTGCAAAAAAATCTGGAATTCTCAGGATTGAAAATACTTATACACTCAATTTACTTTGATTTGATTAGGTGCACAAATCTGAGTGAATCCAGTTCTAACCTATTCAAAGAAATTAAGATCTTTTGCCTCAACTGTTTATTTCCTGCTGGACTTTGTAGAAGTCTTCAAACATTTTATTGTCATAAATGCCCTCCTCACTTCCCAGCACTGTAGAAGACAGAGGTAACATTGTGCTGTGGAGTCTGTTGGGACACTGAAATAGTCAAAAGCTGCACAAATTAATATGGGGTTTTATTTCACCACAGACAGAGGGCAGGAGGCCTGTAAGTTCAAAGATAGAATCTGAGAAAACTTGTTGCTGCAGGAGGCAGCAGCTATGTCAGACTGTCTTAAAAACAGGTTAAGGCTAATCCTCTAATGTGTCTCTGTGCAGAACAGAGCTCCACATGGCCCAATTGCATTCTCTGCAACTGTCAAATGACACAAACTGAAATATTGAAGTGTTGCTGTACTTCAGGGTCCTTGTGCTAAGAGTCAGAATCCTCACCAAAAGCAGCAGAGAAAAGAACAGAGAATCACTATTACTGAGCTTTTGAATTCCTGTTAGATTAGGAATGTAACAGCCCAGGGCAGGAAAGAGCCCATGGCTACAGTAAGGTAAGTTAATTAGAGACTAAGGTTTTTCAGAGATTAATTCTTCCCTATTGCTTTCCAACAATGAAAGAAAAAATAGTTTGGATCTTTTGTCAAAAGCTCTGAAAACCAAAGATGATGCTTTAGGTAGCTAACTCTTTCTATCTGACAGCACTGTCCTTGTAAGAGCAACCTCCCTCATTAAGTTCAGTGACAAATGATGCATTACTTTTCATGCTTCATTAGAGACAAAAATTTTAAAATGAGCCCCAGTAAAAAACCTCAGTCCTTTTACTTTTGCAAACTTCTTCCCTCCAGTTAAAAGCATCAAACTCCCTTCTCTGCACAGAACAAAAATTTGCATTTGGATTGCCTGTGGTTCCCAGTTTGCATTCAGTTCTCAGACCTGATTTCAGCAGGTATCATGCAGGCACAGGACTATTGATAAATTTGTCACTAGCTTTCAAAAAATAACAATATGTTATAACATACATGAACACTAAATGCAATAGGTAGACCTATGGGTAGATATGAGGTTTTAAGTCCAAGATAAGCACCTGCTGTGACCCCAGGTTTACCAAATTAACAGTGGCTCCCAGTGTTGCAAGTCTGTCTGCTGCCAGTGCCATTATTTACATTACTTATTTCCTCAGATGTGGTTGAACAGAATCGCTTTCCACAGCCACCCATTTCTTCAGACCTTGCACAGGAAGAAATGTGCAATTAGGTGATCCAGAGCATTGTTGTCCTCAGTCCTTGTACCAGAAATCTCATACTAGAAGATGATTTCCTCTCTCTATCATCACAGCATTATCACAGATGCTCTAAGCTTTCAGGATAGAGAAGAATCGCTTAGGTGTCTCCCCAGGGTTGAGATTCCTGATCTTCTAAACAGGGAGGGTGCTCACATTTAGGCATTCACATTGTCAATCCTGGATCTAAAATCCAGTGGAAGAGGAGGTAGACTAGATGCTGACTAGTTTGCATTATAGAAATTACATTATGTACAACTTACCTTGGTAAGTTCATGAGGATTCAGAAGTGCTCATGGATTCAAAGCATAACTGATACTGAAATTTATGTTTCTGTCTTTTTCACAGAGCTAACAAAAATGAAAGCACAAACCAGCATGGGACCAAGATTCCTCTCCTGGTAAAGATCAAACCTACAAACATCCGTTCTGAAGCACAGAGAGTGAGCATCCTATCTGGTTAGCATGCCCCATGCAAGTGCATTTTGGCCTAGTGAAGCCTCTAGCTGAACACACTCAAAGGATGCTCACAACCCTCTCTTTTGTGAAAGTCCATGTAAGTCCCTCCTTCATCCCACGGGTCCCCATCAGTCTGTCCTCTTACAACCTTGCTGTGTGTTGTGCATATTGCACTCCTGATGCCAGACCTGAAACTCTGCTCATTACCTTTGTGACAGGTACTCCTGCCAGAGGAGCCCAGGCCTCTGGGGCACCATTATTTCACTGCAATATAGCTCCTACCTTGATGAAATCACTTTGATGTGCATCAATGTGCTTGAAGATCTCCATCTCCAGTGTTGAAGAGGATGAGGAGGACATTACTGCCTTAGAGAGCAGCACAGGGCTGAAATGGATGCTATCTGAAATTTAAGGATAAAATTCAACATAACAGACATCCTGCAATATACATTTTTTTTTTAGCACTAGAAAACAGAGACATTCACAATGTGCTGAACTTATTTAAGTCTCATTTAATCTCCTCAAGCCAGGAGAAAGTATACTCATTTTATCACATAAAAACTTCAATTGATTCATAGTCAAGTTGCTTGAAGAAAAATTGAAAAAAATAACCAAAGAGTGAATATCTTTAGTGTCAGCTTTATAAATAACTTGGGGGCAACATTTTCTAAAGAAACATTTTTACATCCGTTTTTCAGTACACAAGCATCAAATTGTATGTTCTGGGAAGACAACCCTGGGGCAAGACTTGCAGACACCAACAGCCATGGGGACTCATCTTTCTTTTTCTTCATTTTCAGAATCATAGAATATCCTGAAATGGAAGTGATCCACACAGACCTTTGAGTCCAGGTTCTGGGCCTGCACAGCACAATTCCAAGAATGCCACCATGTGCCTGAGAGCATTGTCCTCAACTCTGTCAGTCTTCATGCTGTGACCACTTCCCTGGGGAGCCTTTTCCAGTGCCCAGCCACTCTCTGGGTGAAGAACCTTTTCCTGATATCCTGCCTAAACCTCTCCTGACAACTTCAGGCCATTCCCTCAGCTCCTGTCACTGCTGACCACAGCAAAGAGATCAGTGCCCGCCCCTCCTCTCCCCCTCATGAGGAAGTTCTAACTGCAATGAGGTTTCCCTTCAGTCTCTTCTCCAGGCTGAACAGACCAAGTGCCCTCAGCTGCTCCTCATACAGCTTCTCCTCAAGGCCCTTCACCATCTTCACAGTCCTCCTTTGAACACTCTCTAATGGTTTTATATCTTTCTTAAATTGTGGCACCCAAAACTTCCCCCAGCACTCGAGGTGAGGCCGCTCCGATCGTGATGCTGCACCCCAGGACATGATTTTCCCCCGAGACTGCCAGAAGAAGGCAGAAAAATGGATTCACTGACAGACATTCCATATTTTACATGAATAAGGGAAAACAAGCCTGACACTGGGGAGTATTCGAAAACAAACAGCTTTTGTGGTTGATTAAGAGCAGTGACACTACTGAAACACTTGATAAGTGCAGAATTCATTTACTACCTGCAAACCTCTCTGCCATCTTTTTTTTTCTTTTGACAAGATAAGGTTTTAAAGTGTGTTTTTCTTATTCCTCCAGTTTTCCTTTCATGTTTGCTTGAAGCTGCTGCTGTAGTGTCTTGAATTGGTATTAGCAGAGTAATCCTTGGATGACTAAATACTTGGCTGGGCTAAATTCAGAGCAGCTGCTGTATCAGGCTGTGATAGGATGGACCTCAAGGTCAAAACCCAATGCTCCTCTGAAGATATTCCATAATGGTAACAAAAGGTATAGTTGCAGATCTATTCATAACTCCTTAACTTTGATGCATTGCGTAGATGATAGGCTATGGTAATATTAATATTTTCAATTATGTTTCTCTGACAGAGAAGGAAGATTGAAAACTCAAGCATGATGAACAAGATGAGGCAAACATTGTTCACTTTGGCTGGAGAGCATGGCTGTATGAAGGATGGGCCCCATTTTCTAACCTTCCCACAGAAGCAAGGTTACAAGGTTTGCTTCACTTCCTGAAGCTTTGAAAAGGACTCTCACAGTAGATACAGTTCCCAGTGTCCAGTTCCTGGCATCTCTTAGCACTGGAAACACTGGTATTGAAAGAGACCAAATGCTGACTTTGCAGGGGGGTGAAGCTGCAAAGCACTGTTTTGGAGAAGACTTGTTAACCAAGCCAAGAAAATCCAAATTTGGAGGTGGTTTTTAGTATGGAGAGATTAAATTTAGCCATATTATTTAAATATATAAATATTTTAAAATATTAAACCCCAACCTTGAGTGATGGTCAAAGTACTATTTTCTTCTTACATTGTTTTCTCCATAAAACAATAAACCCTACCTCCAAGAGGTGGATCTAATCAACAATGCCCTTCAAATACATTCATCACTGCAGCAGCAATTTGTCCTAAAGCAAAAGTGATTATTACAGACATTTTTGAAGTAAGCATGGAAAAAATCTGGACATGTTAGATGAGATAAAGCCGCTTCTGGGATTTAGCAACAAAGACATGGTAGAGAATGAGGTTTTGATAATTTAGGTTACAGTTGCCTTTGGATTCAGCTTCTGCAGGTAAGGCTTAAGAACAGGAATTTTGCAACAAGCACCCTAGACTTTAAACTACCATTCTGGCTATTTCTTTCAGCCTTGGACTGTGCAAGTGGCTGCAAATATTTGTCAACTGAAGCCCATTTTACAGAGGGCAATAGGAAGTCAGAGTGTGGAGCATGGTCAGGAGGACTTCCCAGGCTGCACAGGACAGAGGAGAGAAGACCATGAGCTGGACCCTGAGTTTCCTGGCATGGACAAGACACTGGCACTTGCTGAGGTGGTGCCTGGGCAGATACAGGAGGGCATCTGAGCCAAGACATTGCAGATCACATTCAAAAGGGGCTCAGGGTTCTTGGAGATGATCAGCATTAGGTAAAAGCTGAGCAGAGAGGATATACATTGTTTTCTTCTCTTTTTGTCACAGTGCACTTTTGGGGGACTGGGCAATGGCTCTGCTTGTGCCGTGTTGCTCAGTCTCACTGTAGCCAACAGTGTGTCCCAAGAGAGCAAAGTTTACCTTCAGGCTGGTGCTTTTGACTAATAAAGTATATTCCACCTGGGAGATGGGTCTCACAGAGGGGAGCTGGTTCCCACGTGAGCCTAGGAGAGGATGGGACCATAATGGGTGTGTTTGTGAGGGGCTCTAGAAAAGTGCAAGGCACTGCACCCCCAGAAGAAAGTGATAGGAATAGGAATGGTAGAGGAAGCATTAATCTGAAAGTGAGATGAAACCTAGTTTTGCCATGGTTAAGACATCCCAGGATTTCAATCAGCTGTTCATCTACAGAGACATCAGGGCCATTATCTTCCTTTACCATGAAGCTGGCTGGATGCCTCAGTTTGACATTTATTTCACTGATTTTTCTACCTTGTAATTTCCAAACCTCAATTTGGAAAACATTTACAACAAGGCCACTGAATGCACCCCTCCATTTAACCTTACTGGAGAAAACTAGACAGGCTTCTCAGGTTCACTTATGTAAAAAATAGATCTTTTGGTTATGCCATGCTTGAACAAGATCATAGCAGAGGCTGGAACACAGCTGCTAGAGGCACCAAGCTCATACAATGGGTTTAAATATCAGTGGCTCCATTACATATGATTTCCTCTCCCTCTAATCAAATCTTTGATATTGCTGTATTCTATGCATTTTCATTCTAAAAAAATTAGTATATATATATATAAAAGTCACCTTATGGTCACTTGAATAAATGCATGACTTGAATAAATACGTACCTTTTAATGTCAGAAGCACAAAAAGACGGTGTGCTTTTACAGAGGATGTGTGCTGCGGTGCTGACATCTTTCTCTTTTTGTCTCAGTTACGTGCAAATGACCTGGAAAGAGGCAGACAAGAGACATAGGTCTTTGTCATGTCTCATTAGCATTTAACTGTAAGAAAATGAAACAAGGAAGCTAAAATGCTGTGAAAGAAAAAAAAAAAACCAACGAACCAAGCAAAATATCCTAGGGAAATTTGGAATTATTCTGTGATATTTTTGAAACAGACCAAACTTCAAGAAAAGATCATAGAATATCACAAAAATACTCTCATTAAAGTAAGGAAGAGTGGCAAAGATTGGAAAATGAATGTAAGGAGATAGAAAGTAGCAGAGTGCACAAAATATAAATAATTCAAACAAGAAATTAGGTAAAGCTATGTTTTCCTGTAGTAGAAGGAGGGAGGGACGGGAGTAGCTGGTGGAACTTCACACTAATGTACTACTAATACACAAAGTGTTGTTCAGGAGCATTTGGATAGCAACTGGAAGAGCTCATGTCAAAAAAAGAGTCAGTTTAATAAAGCTGTAGAAAGATTTCAGGCAAGGCTAAAATATCTCAGTGTCATGAGGAGGGGAAAAATTATTTGAAAGAATGATACATTCAGGGGGGGATATCAAACAAAGACTTCAGTGTTTAATGTCAAGTGTATTTTATTTGATGCCATTTAAAGGAGCAGTTGCTGCTCTATTGAAAAATGTAGTATGCCTATTTTTAGAAATAATGCATGGCAGTCAGTTGTGCTCTTTCTCTTCCTTTGTTCCTTAGTAGTAAGAACATTTTGTCTCACTTCCTCTCATGTCGTTAAGCACTGTTAAAAGAAAACTTAGTGTTTTTCTTTGGTGATTTAACGAGAAATCCAAGTTGATTCTTCAACTAGGATGATTCTTTGATAAAATATCAACTAAACTTACAAACATTTGAGAAGTAGCTACTGAACATTCTTTGAAGACCTCCTTGTCTCTCCTGAAGTATGTACTTCATGCACTTCCCTCTCTGCGACACAGCATTTCAGGTGGGTGCAGGGAGGAGGGTGCCAATGAAAACTGAACACTGGGTTGCAAACACCCCAGAGAAAAACAGTCAGAACTCATCTGGTTTGCAAATAACAAAGTATATTTGATATTAAAGGCGATAAAGATGTTTATGGCAGTTGGAACTAATTTACCTAATCAATGGTGGACTCCATTGAAAGGAACATTCTCTCTAAGCAAGGAAGGCAACTGAGAGAATAGGTTTATTTTTTAACTTCCTTTAACAATACTCATTGATAAGTAGCATACCTTTGCTAGAAGCAGGCAATCAAGCCACAGTCACCTCTCCAGCTGAGTGAGGTCCTTGGAGGAGGATGACAACTTTTGGCATGGCAGTTCTTAAGCCCAGCCCTGACCCCATGCAGCCGCTGTTGTCATGAGGACCAGCAGCTGCAGAGATCCAGACACCTGCAGGGGAGCAAATGCCAGCTCACAGCACCTGACTGCATTTGAAGATTACTAAATAAGTAGCATCCAAATCAAAGGACTGTGTAACAGCAATGAAAATATCTGGTGGGAAGCATAGGCAAGGTCTGCATTTGCAGGCAGGTGACACTGCAACACCCAGTGCTATTTCCAGCAGTCAAAGTGCTGCAGTATCAATTGCCCGAATGCTGTTTTGGAGAACAGCAATGACCAGCCCGACCTATGCTCAAGCTAAGTCTTTAGTGAAAAAGGTGAGATGCTGTTTATCAGTTCTGTTTTTCTGTAATACAGATGATATTTTAAAAGAATGTCCTTATCTCTAGGTGCTCTTAGCAGCTGCCTTTGTTGCTGATGATTGGAGCCTGAACTGGAAAGGTCTCTTCTTTCACCTGCAGAACATTTTATCTCAATTTTAATCTCAATTTTAATGATAAGTTCTGCAGTTAATAAAGAGATAATTTTAAGTTAAAGATTAATTTTGGGTTTAGATGCTCACTTCTCCCTCTCTATCATACCATAATCAAATCAGGATAGCCAAAATGATAATACATCAAGTCATGAGAAATTTTCCTATCTCCTTTTTCCTCCTGGAATTCCAATATCCCAACAGAAAGCCCAGTGC